AATAGTCTCACAAATCCATTTCTCAACAATAGTAATCTGTCGTTTGATCCCATGTGGTATCCAGACTCTAGAGCGACCCACCATATGACATATGATGTTGACAACAATCAAAATCAGCCATAATACATGGGTTTGGATCAGGTCAGAGTGGGTAATGGCCAAGGTTTACAAATTAAGCATACTGGTTCTTCTTCTCTACTCTTTAATTAGCATGCCTTTACATTAAATGATATATGCCATGTTCCTAAAATCTGCAAAAAATTCTTGTCAGTAAGCAAGTTTACAAAAGATAATGATATATTTTTTGAGTTTCACTAAGATTGTTACTTTGTTAAAGATTATATGGGGAACATCCTAATTCGAGGAGTCGGTAGAGGAGGGTTGTATTGCTTCCCATCAACAACCGCCATTCACAAGGATAAACAATTGCACCATCTGCTCTTGTGGGTGAACGGACATCTCTTCAGGGTTGGCACCAGTGTCTTTGGTCATACTACACTTCATATTGTTCAGCAAGTTATTTCTTAGTACGGTTTACCTTATTCCAGTCAAAGTTCTAGTTCATTATTTTGTGAGTCATGTCAAATGGGTAAAAGTTGTAGATTGTCTTTATTGTCTTCACATAGGTCTCAACATCCTTTGGAGTTAATTTTTTCTGATGTGTGGGGACCTTCCTCAATTAAGTCTAAAAAAGGTTTCTCTTATTATGTGTTATTTCTTGGTGATTACTCAAAAATTTCTTGGATCTATCCCTTAGCACAAAAATCTGATGTTTTTGATACTTTCATAAAATTTAAGAGGTATGTTGAGTTATTATTTAATGCAAAAAATTGTTCTTTTCAATCTGACTGGGGAGGAGAGTATCGTAAGCTCTCTTCCTATTTTGACTCTCAAGGCATCTCTCATCATTTGTCCTGCCCTCACATGCATAAGCAGAATGGTATAGTTGAAAGAAAGCACCGACACATTATTGAATCCACCCTCTCTTTATTGGCTACCTCCAAGCTCCCCTTCTCCTTCTAGGCCGGTGCAGCTAAGATGGTCGTTTACTTGATCAATTGGCTTCCTTCTTCTACCTTGCAAGTTTCTTCTCCTTTTCAGAAGCTATTTCATAGGGACCCAGATTATTCCATGTTGAGGTGTTTCGATCGTGCATGTTATCCCTTGTTGTGACCGTACAATGCACATAAGTTCCAACTCCGTTCATTACAATGCATTTTTCTTGGCCATAGTCACTCTCATAAGGGGTACAGATGCTTTTATATATCATTAGGACGTGAGTTCATTACACGACATGTGGTTTTTGGAGAAGGATTGTTTCCCAACATTCCTAGTTCACTTCCTATCTCATCACAAGTTGAGTCCAGCTTTTATCTACGTGTTTGGAGAAAGCTTTGTTTCAGGCTTCTCCTCCTACAGTACAGATTCCAGAGGCCACCTCTCCAACTTTGACCTAACAATCTTCTAACTCCTTGGCGTTAACTCTAGTACATAGACAACCTCGTTTTCTTACTATGGAAGACTTGTTGGCCAACACACTGGCGGTACCTCCCCTCATCCGATAGCACTCCATGACTACATGATCTATAGACGAAACTCTTCTTGTTCGTTCACATCTTACCACCCGATATTCCATACTTGCTGCATTACTCAGTTCTCTCTCCTAAAAAACGAAGCCTAGAACTTATGTTGAAGCTGCAAAATCTCCTCAATGGCGATCGACAATGCAGTTGGAGTTCAATGCTTTATTAACTAATGGCACATGGGATCTAGTCACCTACCATCTATCCATGAATATTATGGGTACTAAGTGGGTGTACAAGATTAAAAGAAAATAAGATGGTTCTTTGGAGCGATACAAAGCCAAGCTTGTTTCTCAAGGCTTTCATCAGGTTCCCGGTATAGATTTCTTTGAACTTTTAGTCCAGTAGTAAAGCTAGTCATAGTTCGTACCATTCTAGCCCTTGCAATGGCTCATTGGTGGCCTATTAGGCAACTAGACATCAGCAATGTCTTCCTCCATGGTCTCATCACTGAAGACATCTATATTCTCCAACCCAAGGGGTTCGAACATCTTGACTACCTAGATTTTGTCTGCAAATTACGAAAAGCTCTATATGGACTTCGGTAGGCTCCACGTGCTTCGTACTCTTAACCAACTTCATCTCTTAATGATTTGGGTTTTCGAAACTCTGTGGATGATCCCTCATTATTTATTTACAAGAGTAACTCCACTCTATTGTACATATTGGTCTATGTTGATGATATCATCATTACTGGGAATTCCTCTTTTGCTATTACTTCTTTGCTTCAAAAGCTCTCTATGATTTTCCCTGTCAAAGATCTTGGCCCTTTACACTATTTTCTTGGGATCGAAGCTCAATTTAATTATGATGGTCTTCATTTGTCTCAGAAATGGTACATCCTAGATTTATTGCACTACACCAAGTTAGATGGAGCTAAGCCTTGTAGCTCTCCCATGGCGGCCTCAACAAGATTAAGTCGAACGTTTGGTACATCTCTCTCTGATCCATCTGAATACTGGAATGTTATTGGTGCCTTGCAATACTTTACTCTCACTAGACTTGATATTTCCTTTTCGGTTAACAAGGTCTGTCAGTTCCTACAGTCACCAATTGATGAACACTGGTTTGTAGTCAAACGCATCCTACGTTATCTGAAGGGCACACTTGATCATAGTTTGCATTCTTTCTCCTCTACTTCTTTGCATTTGAATGCGTTCATAGGTGCTGATTGGGCCAGCTGTTAGGATGACCATCGAACTATAGGAGGTTTTGTAGTTTACTTAGGTTGTCATCTCATCAGTTGGAGCTCCAAAAAGCAATACACTGTTGCTCGCTCTAGTATAGAATCAGAATTCAGATCTCTTGCTAACACTGTAACAGAAGTTTTATGGATCCAATCCCTTTTGGCTGATTTAGGTTTCCTTGTTTCAAGGCCAGTAGTATGGTGTAACAATTAACCTGGGTGTCACATATCTTGCTGCACATTTAGTGTTTCATGCTCACACCAAGAATGTTGAAGTTGACTTCCACTTCCTCCATGATCTTTGCTTGGCCGACAAATTATCTATTAGGTACATTTGTTCTGAAGACCAAGTTGTTGATATCTTCACGAAGCCTCTGTCTACGCCACGTTTTGGTCTTTTGCGGTACAAGCTTCATGTAATGCCTTTCAACTTAAGGGGGCACATTGGAGATAATCATATCAGATCTGGATCTAGCTTGGACTCTAGGATAGATAAGGATGCTAAGAGTTAGCTATCTATTGTAAACTAGGATCAACATGATCTCTCCTAGCTGTATTCTATCTAGGACTCTCACTGATTCTAATCTTATCTTGTATGAGACCTGTGTAAATCAAACTCTAGAAGAATTCTATAAATACATAGAACTTCAGTGAACCAAAACCACTGAAGTCGATCATTCCTTCTCATTCTTGTTATTATTTTCGATATTCTATTGTTCAAACTATTTCAAACTAAGGGGATGTTTTAGTAAAACACAAACCATAGGGTAGGTTTTAGTAAATTTATAAAACTATACGGGGTGTTTTAGTAAATGACCCTTTTTAAAAACTATAAAGGGGATTTAAGCAATTTACCCTTTTTGATATTAGAGTCCTCTCTATATTTTAGGGCTGCTTTGTGGGCTAAGTTGGATTTGAGCGTTTATTAATTTTGAATGGGACTGGACCTTAACCTAAACTCGATGTAGTTGAAGTTTTCATTATGGGCAACTTGATGTGCACCCCTAATAATCTATTTATGTAAAATGCATATGTTCATGACCCAATATCTGACATGGTCAATTGGTGCTCTTCTAAGAAAGGAGGCGTGGGATCAAACCCTATTAATCATAACATCTTCATAGTAAGGCCAATGGACCTCATGTGCAACCTACTCTATCCCCACCCCTTAATCAATTGGTGATGTAGTTCAAGTTTATGCCTTGAGAAGCATCATATCATTTTAAAAGGAGAAGACAAGTGGGCCTAAATTTGAATTTATTAATGGGCTTTCAATAGCCATTTTAGTTAGTGGGTTTCTTAACAGCTAGTTTACTAATGTATTTCTAACAATTAGTTTTATTTAATGCTCAAACGACTAGTTTTACATTAAATGCTCCAATATAACTTTTGTTATCTATATAAAACTTTGTAATCTGAAACTAGAGGCATCAAGTTATTTCCTTTGTTTTGAGAAGCTTAGAGCTTTCTTTGAGAGTTGAGAGAATCCTCTCTTAGGATGAGTGAATCCCCAACCTCTTTGGGTGAGTGAATCCCCAACCTTGTTGCCTCATATATATTGTAAGCTGTCTTAAATTAATGGAGTTTCATCAAATCTCTTTCTTCTTTTCTCCAGTTCTTTGAACAGATTCCTTCTACATTATTATCTTTTTATTTGACCTACATCAATAGTGAATCCTCAATTAACCTTATCACCTCATATTATAAGCCATCTTAAATTAATGGAGTTTCATCCAATCTCCCTCTTTTCTCTAATTCTTTGAGCAAATTTCTTTCACATTTTTCTCTTTTTATTTGAGCCACATAACTTGGTGATGATGCATGTAATACTTAAAAAAGGAAAAGGAAACAAAAGACCTAAAGTTGATAAAACTTTGGTGTTCATTCAAATTCACATGGGTCTCTTACCACAGCCTCAGATGGAACCTCCTCTTCTCTCTTTCACACATGTGAAATATTAAAATGCCTCTTATGTCTGAATTTTCTCTTTTAAAACCCTCTCCTCCACCTTTGTAATACTTTTGACTCTGTCTAATAATACATGGATATAAATTAGATGGATTGTGTGGGATTAAGGACCAACCTTAACCAACCTTGAACATGGACTCGGCTTGGAACCAAACTATGTCAAAACCTAAATTTGCCAATCCAAACCTATCCAAATTTCCCTTAATGTGCTTGCTTAATTAGAGGTGAACATGGAACCGACAAATGGAAAGTTAATGCTCAAGATCAATGAATTTGTAAGAAAAGAAACACAAGCAGATGAATTTAGAATTTTTCAGGCATGTGAATGCTGCATTGTACATGTCATAACTTCTTCAAGTTCAATCTCTAGTTGCTCAACATTGTGACTTTTTATAAAAGCTTCATTGCTCAAAGGTAGCATCTTAATTGAATTGGATGATGGTTCACTCATTGTATTTCTGCCATGCTTCATAGTACTCGTCCTCGATGGTTCTCGTTCATCCGTTGTATTTCCGCCACTTTTCACGGTACTCGTCCTCCGTGTCATTCTCCGTGTAGCAGCCCAACCAACAATGTCATCTTCCAAGTGGGAAAATATGCCCTTCTTAAATGCGCTACCCATCTTCATTTTAGAAACAAACATGCAAATGAATAAGCAACTCAAATTCATTCATGTTAAAGTTGAAGACAAAGTGTTTTTGAACCCACAGATACACTCAATGCCTTGGTTTACTTACACTTAGCCACTTTTAAAGGTTAATACCCTATTCCTAAAGATCTCTTTGTTCAATTCTTGAAATTGTATATCATCCTATTGAAATGTACATATGAGGGTATCATTAAGGGTGTCAAATGGACCGGTTTTGGATTGGACCCCATCCAGTCCAAAATCAATTTGAATGGATTGGGCGGACTAACAAGACATATTGGATTGGACCAACCTGGTCCAAAATATTTATTAGATTGGAAAGGACCTGGTCCATCCGTAACAAATTTATATTGGATTGGGTTCGGATTAAGCCAATATCTGATCTATTAATATAAGATAAGATTATATGTGTCAATGGACCGAGTTTGGGTTGCAACCAATCTAAATCAAAATAAATTTGAACAGAATGGACGGTCCAAAAATTAAATTGAACCGGTCCAAATTGGTCCAAAGCATTCATTAGATTTGATTGGACTTGGTCCATTTATAATGGACAAACATTAGGCTGGATCGGATTGGACCAAGTCCAGTCCAATTGACACCCCTAGGTATCATCATTAATACTTTGACCCTTGGGCTGTGTTTGGTTTCAGTGCAAAATTTGCACTGATGTAAAACTGTGGTAGTGCAAATGATTTGGGTGTAAGTTTTGATTTATTTTTGTTTAAAATTTTACTTTACTTTGTTTGGTTGCAATAAAAAATAAATTAAAATAAGGCTCAAAGTAGAATAAATTAAACCAAAATTTACATTTTTTTTTTCATTTGCACTCCCATACTTTTGTACTAGTGCAAATAAAATTGCACTACAACCAAATACAACCTTGAGTACAGATGGATATCTAGGGCAAGGTTTTTAAAACTGAACCAGACAATGAACCAGTCAGGGGTCCGGTTCCCGGGTTGAACGGTCCGACCATTCGAACTGAATGGACGGTCCATTCTAACAAAAAAAATTTAAAAAACAAAGAAATAGCCAAACTGTTGGATGGTTCGAATGCCCGGGTCAGCGGTTTGCTGACCAAATCAACGGTTTTTGGTAAAATAACAGTTCTGGGGTAAAACGGAACCAATCACCTAACCAGTTCCTGGTTTTTCTGGTCCGACCGTCCAATCCGGTCTAATTTTAAAAACCATGATCTAGGGCTGCAAATGGATTGAACCGAATTCAAATCGCCATTGAATTTTGGACAAATTATTTGTGTGCAGACATAGGTGTATTATAGTGAAACAAATTGGTTTTTAATTTCACCTGGGTAACAATTGCAAACAAAGGTAGAGTGCTGTAGCTGCATAGAACTTGAACAGCCACCCTGCACAGACAAGCAACCTATGAGCTAGTGTATGTTTCTTGGAATGGAACAGCCAGCTACAGCATAACAAAGGCCAAAAACATTCAACCATTACCCTATAATGATTCTAGGAATGACGTAGCCCAATTTTTCCACCATGCAGGATTTGAATCCAAAGGTACACTGCCCATGTGTATCAGTACAAGTTATGTTTGCTTGTTTGTATTGGGTTGAAATAGAAATATGTATCTGACTTACCCAAATCCAGGCGAAAAATGCAATCTCAAATGCATTCTCAAACAAGATGAAGTGAATCAAATAAAGAACAATTTGAGGACGACCAAACCAGAAATGCTCGTCTGAGGGCTTCACTGGTGGTGCTGTAGGATCATTTTTGTTCCTTTGTTCTACATCTTCAGCCAAACGAGTAATGATATGTTCTAGTTTAGCTCCAACAAGGAGTAGAAGCTGCAAAACAATCCAATTCAAGATAGTAATATATATTCTCCCCTAATCTCTTGCCTCTTCTTCCTTCGGTATCTGAAAAGAATCGAACTGAAGTAAAGACAAAAGAAGATAACCAGGTAGTATACTTACAATCAAAGGCGAAAAAGATAACCAGAAGAATGTGTGCCATCCTGCATTGAAACCCACTAGTAAGAATGTGATAGAATTCTATTTTTGCAATCTTATTGTGAAATGGATGGTATACCATGCTCATTCAAAAGCAGGAAGATCACCACAAAGAGCCACAGGTACCAGCTTCATTCAAGAAATGAGTTGATCGAAAAGGAGATAAAACAGGTTTCAGTAAATCCAGAATATCTTATCAAAAGAAACGACTGATAATTTCCTTTGAAAGTTACCTTATTGTAACAACTATCTTGAAATCAACTTCAAGGGTCCGCATCATGTACTCGTGAAAATTAAAACCGGGGTGTGAAGGGCAGTGCTCCTACTTGAAATTAAAGGTAACAAGTTAATTAACACACATCTGCAGAAAAAGAGAAAGATGAGTCTACTATTGGACTACTAATATTTCATGGTTTGTATCTTACCTTTATAAATCCCGACCTCATTGCAATGTAATCTGTTTTAGTTACAGAGGCATAGAACTGTTTGAAAAATGACATCTGCAAATACACATGAAGACAACTGTGTCTTAAAAAATTATAAAAGTATAAACGATTGTGAGATAAAATTGATCAAACTGGTTAATTAATGGATTCATGATGAAACTATTATTTTACAACATCAAACCTTGAAGGGCCTCAGCTAGGAGAGGTGTTGTAATTTAGGGGTCATCTCATTTTCTGTTTAAATCAGATTTTGCTTTGTTACAGTTCGTGATGCTCTTGTTTCCCCTCTTTCCTTTTCTGTTAGGAGGTGTTCTTTTTTCGGATTTTGAGAGGGGGTTCCATGTTCTTTTTTCAGATTTAGGTGGGGATCAGGGAAAGTTTATTTTTCCAGGTACGTGATATCCATCTCTTAGGTGGATAAATAACTTTTTCATCTGGGTGGAAAATTGTAAATACATGAATGAGATAAAAATCTTTTAATAATGGATTTCTATAGCTAAAATGGTCATTGCCTTATTTATTTAATTGAAAAAAAAGAACATTGATAAATGCACTTACCCGGATAAGTGTTTCCCAAAAAAACTTACCTAAATAAGTAATTTTCTGGGAAACTAGAAAGTTTCTATTATTAATTGGAACTAAGAAGAAAAAAGGAAAGTATTTGGAAAGACATTGAAATATGGAGGAATGTCAGTATACTAGTTCATTTGCAACTCTTGGAAACTTCACCCTGCAGTGGTCTAGACTCTACCATTCCTATTTAGCTAGCAAGCAGTGGTTCAAGAACTTTAATATTGCAGATCTGAGGTAGAACCCTATCTACATGGAATTTATGTGTTAAAACCAATTACATTCATGCTCTGAGTTCTCCAGTGAACTCGATCGACTTATTGCTTGTTCCTTGAGATGAACTCAATCTTCTGCATGTTGTAACAGCTGGAAGAAAAGAAAAGAAAAAAAGAAAGCTCTCTTTGACATGCCAGAATTATAAACGAGACTAAATGGAGCGATATGAATTATTAATATTTGTTACAGTATCCTTGTTAACTAGCTGGATAGCCCTAAGAGTCACTCACTGAGCTATAGAAGTTCTAATAAGTTGCTTGAAGTTTCTTGGGGCAACGGAAGTGTAATGGGTCAAAAACAAGAGACTAATCATTATTTTGACAAAAAAGAAAAACGGAAAGAAAAGAGATAGAGAGGTAGAGGAAATTGAGCTAGATTCTTACACTTTGTTTTAGTTCTTGTGTTCTTGTTTTTTTCAATGACATTGCAACATACATGAATACAAATATATATATATATATTTTTTTTTTTTTCTTCTATCTTCTTTGTCTTCTTTCATTCTTATATCTAGGGGTGAGCATTCGGTTTATTTGGTTAAAAACCAAATTTAATTAATATATATATATATTATAATATATATAGCATATTACATATTAAATGTTATATATTGTATATTATATATTACATATTATATTATAAATTTCAGTTAATTTAGTTTTTTCAGTTAACCGAATTTCTAATTTTGAAAGTCGAAACTGAAAATCGAAATTCATAAAAACCAAATTAACCAAAAATAAAAAAAAAACCGAAATCAAAATTTTCGGTTCAGTATTTCGGTTTTAACTGAATAATGCTCACCCCTATTTCTATCAAAGGTGATTTTTTCTTAGGCTTTGTCCAATAAACTTCTGTTGCACCAACAAATTTTGGTTTCCTAACCAAAATCTAGCCACCCATCAAAATCTAAAACCCTTCATGGCAGTCAGTTCCAGTAGCACCGTTCGACTCTTTCCAAAACCTTTCACTTCCTATTTTTATGAAGAAAATTACGACTTTTGGAATGTATAATAAAACCTTCTTCATCTTAAAACATTTGTGAGATTTTGTATATATAAGGGTATAAAGAACAGTAAAACAGTGAAGAAGTTGCAGTTTGGGCAAAAGAAAACAAAAAGGAGTAAAAGGAAGTAAGAAAAAGAATGCAAAACCTTTTTATCACATCCAACAAACACTAAGTAAAATAAATTTTCCAAGAATCATAACTGCAAATTGTTCAATCGAAGCATGAGAGAAGTTTTAGGGCATTGAAATTTAACTACGAGTTAAATTTGATAACGTAGTGGTTTCCATAAAAGAAATTACTGATTAATTTGTCTAAACTATCTATGCATGAGTTGAGTTCAATTGAAACTTGTGAAGATAGAATTAAAAAAAGTTGTTAATTCCTTTGGAGCTGAATGAACAAGTTAATTTTTAGATAAAATTTGGTGATGAAAATCTATAAAATGTTAAACGAAAGAAAATGTTAAATAATACAAAATATAAGGTTTTGCACTCTAAATATTTGTATTTATACTCCTTCCAAACTTATCCATAGAGTAAAACTTAATAAAAAAAATCCTGCTCTTCTATCTTCTTTGATTTCTGTTTTTCTTCCATCGAAATTTATTTTTTCTTAGGTTTTGTCCAATATCCAATGCACCAACAAAGTTCAGCTCAAAAGAAATGGTTGAATGCTAATTAATTGAAATTGCATGAAGGTGGGTTCGAAACTCACAATCCAGCTTATAACAATCGACTTTCTCCAATATCCCCCTGCGCGCTTTATGACAAACAGGCGATGAAGGTTATAAGCACTCACTGTTTTATCACGGACTTCTGCACTTAAGAGTTCTTTTATATATTAAAACAAAGAAGGAGATATATACCTAGCTACCAATTGATCTTAACAGACATTTATAGTTATTAAAATATTTTCTTCCACGCATAGATTGCCCCAGTATGAAGGAATTTGTGTCCATTACCCTTGGTCTCACCAGTCTTTTGCTTCTGGCTTTTACAAGTTTCCTCCCACGGCTTCCATTGTTGTATCTACACGGACCGAGATGTTTCTCATTAATATATAATCCACGAGATCAAAATAACAACTCCAGATTAGCCAATAGGGGTCTGGAATGGGAATCAGAATGGGTTATATATTTTGATTCTAACTGTTTGATTGGATGGAATCAGAATCCCATTGGCATTTCTGCTGGAATGACATTCCCCTATTTCAGGGAATGGCCAATCCCTCCTCTTTATTTGGGAATGAAATTCCTTTTCTACTGATTTCAATTTCCATTTTCACTCCTGTCCGAACCAAACAGACTATGAAAATATATCATTCCAATTCCAATTTCGATTCCGAAAGATTTTGATTCCGATTTTGATTTCAATTATAAACCAAATGTACCCTAAATTTTTTTGGTCTTTATTAATGATTGATCAGAAGCTGAATTGAAAATTACTTTGCAATTACTATTCTTTGATAGGAAGTTAATTGGATATCAGTTTGGGTGGAATCTGATTGTTTGAATGATGTCAGCATTTTAAATGACTCGTTTGAGTCTTTATTATCTTGGTTTTGTTTAGCTGTTGTGGAGGCTGTATATTCTGGCAATGTTGTGTTTGTATGCATTCCTAAAACTTTAATTCTGTGGCTCATCTTATGACCCAGAAAGCAAAGTCTTTTCAAAGGTTTCAAGTGTGGTGGTCTAATCCACCAATATATGATTGGAACAGTTGAACTCTGAATGCTATTAAAATATGGGCCCATACGTCTATTTTAGTATGGATCTCACGTTTAAGTCCCTTTATCCCTTCCCCTGTGTTTGTTTGTACTGCAATTTTATTTGTTTTAGTATAATTGTATGGAAGTGCAAATAAAAAGAATGCAAATTTTGGTTTAATTTTGCTTTCGGTTTTACTTAATTCTACTTCAGATCTTATTTTATTTTATTTGTACTGCAATCAATCAAAATATGATAAATTTTAAAATACAAATAAATCATAATTTGCATCAAAACTATTTGCACTACCATGATTTTGCATCAATGCAAATAAATTCACATTTATTTGTATTTGTGAGTCACATATATTACCTAAATTGAGTAAATTTACTAGTAAATGCGTATAGCATGCAAAACAAGCAATCCAACCAAGGCATGGAAGAACCACTGAACCAGGCCAGGTAAAATTTCACCCGGTTCAGTGATTTGACTTCAGAACAAAACGAACCTCAATGAAAAGACTATTTAATTTTAAAAGCTGAGGGGTTTAAACTCATACCTGGGATTCATTCCTGTCTTTGGCATTACAATTAAACATAAGCTTGTCTATCCAAGAAGGAAAAAAGGTGTTAAAAGCTGAAATAGAAATTAGTTTACCTTTAACCCTCCTAAAACCATTGTGGTGGCACAAAACGTTACATGGACAACTGCCAATACAAAAATGAAAATGTGAAGTTGATGGAGTCCTTCAAGTGATAAAAATGGAACTTTTCCCTGAAATGTCAAAGCAAAGTGCAGGATGTTTGAGGGTGACCTATGAGCAAAAAGAGTACAAAGGTGCAAATTATTTCTCTAATCTAAAGGTAACCGGAAAAGCTAGTTTCTGCAACAGCTATGTACGGGTTGAACTAAAAACTTTCCTTGAACCTTTTGCGAGGCCCATATAATATATCCACGGATCAAAATTTCGTTGTATCGGGACCTTTCTTATACACTCCTATAGGGGTTATCGGGTCAGGCCATGGTTCAGTGGATTATTGGGATTTAAACCGATCTCTCGGTATAGGCTGATACACCCTACCGATATATCGGCCTTGAACCTTGAATATATCATAAGCTTTTGTGAGAAAAGGTGGTCATGAACCCATGGCTCCTTTTTGGTTGTGCCCCAAAGCCATTAAAAAACTGAATCAGCGCATTTGAGTGCATATGCATAACCATTCATTCTTTTTTTTCCTTTCTAGGCTAATTATTATTTAAGGCACTATTTATTTGCAGTGCAATTTTCACAGGTGTAAATGCGTGGGTAAATTCCAGTTTACTTTTGTCTCATATTTGACTTTATCTTATTTGTTTGTGAAAAGTAAAATAGGAAGTAAAATAATGTGATATGAAAGAGAGTGCATGTAGGAGGAGGTTTATTTGTTTGAGAATAAAGTAAGAAGCAAGATGATGTAGTCATGGTTTTTAAAACCAACCCGAACACCGAACCAAAACCGTTTGAACGGTTAACTATTTGGGTCAGCGGTTTGTTGACCAAAATCAACGGTTTTGGGGAAAACTAAAACCGGTCACTTAACAGGTTCCCGGTTTTCCAGTCCGACTGTCCGGTCCGGTCTGGTTTTGAAAACCATGGATGTAGTCACCACTTTATATGAGAGAGAACTAATATAAGTGCAAGGTGTTGCAAATTTTGTATCAGTTTTTAAGATGCAAAATTTCCACAGTTAGCAAGTGCAAATAAGACAAAAAGTGCATATTTGTATCAGTTAGGAGTGCAAATCATAGTTATAAACAAACAAATGCAAAACTGAAATGGATGCAAAATTAAATTTATATCAGTTTTAGACTTGCACTGCAAACAAATAGATCCTTGGTGTTTTTTTTTTTCTTTTATTTTGTATAATAATTTTCTTTTGGTAAGGATACAGTAGTAGTCTAAGTCAGCCTTCTAAGAGGGTGCCAATTACCTTAGTTGGTAATGTCTTTGACTGGTTGTAGCAGACACTTTGGGATCAATCTTGGCTTTAGGAAAGTTGGGGGGTTATGGATAGGATCTACTTGTTAGCACTCGATTTTTGTTCAGTCCGCCGCCTGAACCTCTAATTTGCCCCAAATCCCCGATCAAACCCTTCCGATCCATCCAAAACACCCAAAAATCCAAGAAATTCGAATTTCACATAGAGAGCCCTTAGATCCACCGTTGAACTTGCTCGATACCGATCCAATGACTTTGATCAACACCCATTTACACCCCAACCACTAGATCAGACACAACCAACAAACCTAGGACCTCCTAGAACACCTTCCTATAAACTTTCAACTCAAGATTCCCTCGTTTACCCCTCATCAAATGAAGATTCCATTTCGACCCCTCTCATTAGCCCAAATATGAAGAACCCGGATTAACTTGATCTTGACACATTTGGACCAATCAAACCACACCATTAGACTCCAGATACACCAAAACACCTACCCATAAAATTTCAATCCCAAACTCCCTCATTTGCCCTTTCATCAAACCAAGATTTCACTCTGAAATATCCCATTGACCCAAATTCCTACAATCTTGACCCTCTAAGACTGATCAGACCTCATCATCAAATCCCAGACACCCCCAAATACCCACCTATAAATTTTCAGGCCCAAATACCTCCATTTATCTTCAATCACACAAAGGTTCCATTTTAAGGCTTCGAATTGATCAGATTACAAAATTTCCCGATCTGGGCCTAATTGACTGAATCTAACCCTACCAATCACCTCAGAATGTCCGCAAACCCTACCCTGTGAAATCTCAGCCTAAAATACCTTCATTTACTCTTTTATCTAAAAATATTCCCTTTTGGTCAATCTCACTGGTCTGCATGCATCAAAACTCTTCTCAGTGATCAGACCCATCTCAACCCTCCAATTTTTGACCCAGAACCACCCATCATTGAACCAGGACCCCAGTTTGAGCCCAAGTGAGCCATTTTTCCGATGCTTACACTACTAATTTTATAGTCCCATCAAGCCAAAAGAAGAAAAAAGGAAGAAAGAAAGAAAGAAAGTAAATTAGCCTTTTGGAAATGAAAACATGTTATGTGGTTTTTGAAAATAAAGCATCTTTTGGTTCATTCTAAAATTCTATTAGTATATATTAAAGCAAAGATGGCCTTGTCATATGATCTCTCCTTTCTCCCCTTACCCAATCAAGGCTTCTCCTTGGTTCCTTCTCTCCTCATGATACCATTCCTTACACTCACAGCTTGCCACGTTGATACCTCTGCTTTCCTAATTAAAATCGTTCTCTCTCTCTCTCTCGTTCTCAATCACCTAAATCATCTCATCTCTTAAAATTTCTCATAAACAATCTACCCACCTAAAACTTACTCCTAAAACATCTCCTAATCTCATCTCTTCCCTCGCCTAATCTCTTTATTTATTTCCATACCTATCTCTATCCACATTGCAAATACATGCATTTAATATCTCATCAATGTATTAAAATATTAATGTGTAAGTTAAAACTTTTTTTTTGAAAACAGTTTAAGTTAATATTGAAATATTGAAATAAGATGAGTAAACAATATCTAAAATAATAATAATAATAATAATAATAATAATAATAATAAGAGAAAACAACAACAACAACAACAATAATAATAATAAGAGAAAAAATAGATAATACATTAAGACAAATAATAATGTAAAATAAAAATTTAATAATTAGTTAAAAATCTTATTATAATTATAAATAATACAATTACAAAATTAAATACAGTTAATTATTTAATTTGATTTAATTACTCTCAAATATTATTGTTATTATAATAATTACTTAATTAATTAATGTTAAAAAATTACTCTTAATAATTGATAAGTAATTATAGTTAATTAATTACCAAAATTTTGGAAAAAGTAATTTAATAGTAAATTACCATACTTAATAAATTATTTAAATTATAATTACAGATATTTTAATTACTATAAAACTATTTTGCAATAATTAAAGTAACAATAATTTAATAGTAAATTACTATTAAGTTAGTGAATTGGCCATAATTTTTTGAGTAAAATAATTAAATAAATTACTAAATTATTTAAGTAAAATATCACAATAGTTAAAATAATTTCACATTTATTTATTTAATTAGGTAAAATAATTTCATAGTAATTAAAATGACAGAAATTAAACTCAAATTAGGTCCAACCCTTAAAATTGGGCTTAAGGCCCGAAACCAAGGTCAAGTAGGATTTGTCCAACTTGAGTTTAACTTGCACTAAAATTTGATGCACTCGGGGTGGCTTTGGCTTGGGTTGTTAGGCTTGGCTTAGTCAATAAGCATAGACTATATATATTTATGTATGTATTTATGTATGTATGTATATATACATGTATGTATGTATGTATATATGCAAATAATGTGTCTATAATTAGGATAAGATTGGGTTGGGCTCACATTGCCCAAGGGCTAAGCCTAGGCCTAACCCTAAAAATTAATAAAGCCCAAACATATAGGCCTATTAGGCTCAGCCCATGTAAATTTGTGGGTCAGGTTGATTTGGACTCAGGTTAGGCTCTCCTAAGTTGCACCACTAGATATAGGTCCTTTCTGAGTTTAGACTCATACTGCATATGATTCCATTAGTTTGATGTCAATATGGATGTATATGTTATACAACACTTAAGTGCAAATTATGTAACAATCCCATGCTTTAAGTTACCTATTTAAATAGGTAAATTATTTATGTGGTTAAACAATCATAATTAACTTAATTAGGTGGCATAGTTATTAATTGTTATTACTAATAAAACCATAAAAGCCATAATTTTAATCCATTTAAATCATATTTAAAATTATAAAAATTGTAAAAAGCAATTCAAATTTGTTAATATAATAATAATAATAATAACAACAATAATAATAATAATAATTTATAAAATTAATTTTATAAATAAAATTAATAAACAATAGTAATCTTATAAAATTAATTTTTCTATGAGAAATTCATTAATTTTAAAATTATTTTTTATTAATTTAAATTTTATTTGCAATAATTACATTAATAAAGCTTTATAGTAGGCCTATAGCCTAACCTGTCCCATGACACACCTAATTAAGAATGTCATAGGGCTCTCTCTACTTAATTTTCTCTAAAACGGTCCATACATAATAAAAATAGATCATAGGAAAATAAGGATGTCAACCTAATAACCCATAAACCAATTTCCAACTTAAATCAGTGCCTCTTGAGATGTTAAAACATGTGACAAAACATATAATTGAAAGATTGTGGCACAGGTTGGCTTGGTATCAGGTTGAACCCAATAGGGTTGTGTGGGTTGGCATGGGTTTGACTCAACCCTAATCTTACCCTCCCATACTTTCCACTCCAACCTAATCCAACTTGACTCAATTCTTCACAATTTCTGAACCTACCCTCGCCTATATGGTTCAACTTGATACCAATCCAACCCTTCCCATAGTCTTTCAATTATATTTTTCGTGATACTTTTTTTGAAAACTCAAGAGACATTAATTTTAGTTGGAAATTGGTTTATGGGTTCCTAGGTATTACTTCTCCAAATTAAAAGGGAAAAAAAATGAAAACAAATAGTGAAATAAATCATATACTTTAAGGTTAGGGGTTATAATTAGATAAAATTAGAAGAATACCCTTTATATGTGTAGGTGTATTATGACTTGATGGATGGGGGTTAGCTAACCTTGAATCCGATTTGGGTTAAATAATCATAACTCTAACAAAACCCTAGATCTCCCGATTTGGTTAAAACAAACATTGAAAGAAATAATAAAATTTAAGGTTACGGGTTAAAGTCAAACAAAATTACAATAATACCCTTTATATTTATAGGGGTATTATGACCCCATGGGCCAGGTCATCCAACTTGCACCCCACACTACCGAACCGTGGGGCATATTTTGTAACCAAATCGGTAGTACCGTTTTTTGGAAAACTGGTAATCGGAACTGAACCGAAACCTATCAGTTAACCAGTTTGGTTAACCGTCAGTTTTTTGGTTTTTTTATTTTTACAATATATAATACATATATATATATAAATATATATAAAATATTATATTTTAAATAATAAATAATATATCATATATTATAAATATATATTTATCTATATAATACATATTTATTAATTTATAATATATAAAAAATATAGAAATATGTATCAGTCAGTTTGGTTAACTGCCGGTTTTCTGTATTGGTTAACCGAAACCCAACCGGTCAGTTCGATTAACTAATTTTTTGGTTCAATTTTGGTTGGTTTTTTGCTCGGTTCGGTTTTTTGGTTTTTTTGCTCACCCCTACCCTACACCCTAATTAAAATTCTAACCTGACCATGTAAGGGTGAGTCAAATTGAATTTACTATTTAACTTGACCCATTGGCATTCCTAAATAAGATTAGCCACCCTCACCAAGGTTTCAATTTGGATTGTGATATCAGAACAACTAAATTAACAAAAAAAAATATTATACATGAGTTGTCTTAGATTGGCTTGGCTCAATTAAAAATGTCAAAAGGCTCTTTCTGTTTGAATTTTACATACACACATTTTTTCCTTTTTTGTTTATAGCTAAAGTAGTTTTTTTTAAGAAACAAAACAGAAAAAGAGTACATGCATGTTGATCAACAACCCATTAGTCTTTACGAATAGAAATAATTTTATCTGTTTCACCTTCATTGAAACTTGCTATTCATATGAAACAGAACAACAGGATATCCTGAGTTCTAACCATTCCAAAGCAACCCCCTCATCCTCTTACAAAGATACTTCAAACAATTTCTGTCAATAAAATGGATGGAATTTCTATTTGGTTGGATATGAAATATGAATGCAGAAGTTACTAGCTTTGGGGTTAGTTATTTGGAAGCATTTGATGAGATGATGGGGCTGGCGTTAACCAAATACACAGAAGTGAAAAAAAACCTGTTACCATTCTTGCGCAATGGTTGGAGTTGGTATCCTCAGCCAAAAGCTGCCTCCCCTTCCGCGCAATTCCAAGAGAAAAAGCTTTGTAGTTGTGGATCTCCTGCTCAGAAGAAGAGACTTCCTCCCTCTTGCATGGATTCATATGAGATGCAAGATCCGTTGAGATACAAATGTTGCTGATCAGACCTTCAAAGACAGTCAATAGAAGGGAAATAAACCCTAGAAGCATCAACTCTGCAACCACACATTTTGGTACACTCAGTTTACTTGTTTACTAAGATCATATTTGCAGGAGACTATCTCTGATGTGCAAAACGCAATTGGACCAATAGAACATTAGAGAATTAGAACCTCATTACCCATGATTGGATTTAAGGAAACAGCAAAAGAAAATCAGAAAAATGGTAAGAAATCAAAATTGGTTGAGTCACTGCATACCTTCTTTTAGCTTTTCCAAGGCCTCAAATAGCGCATGCTGTCCTTTGTGCTTTAGAAACTGATGCGAAGATCAAAGTCACCAAGTACTTTATTAGAGATTAAAGTACTTTAATCTACTTTTATGACTTGACACTTTGACAGTCTAGAAACAAAAGCAAAATCATTAAAGCAAAAGATGTAGGGCGTAAATTAAAAATTAAGTATTGAAGCAAGGGAAGTAGAAACAAAATGTTGACAGAAATTTGGAAAAAAAAAAAAAAAAAAAAACAGAATGGAACTTTGGAAGGGGACGCAACTTGGGTTGGGCCAATTGGCTCAATTCAAAATGGGCTCCCCAAGGTGTTGGCCGGGTTGGCTGCCTCCTTGACCTCAGGTTGGGGCTCTAGCTTACTCTCATTGAATCATTAGAGATCTACCGTGTTCATGGTGATCTCAGAGGCTCAAACAATAAAAGATCTATTGAATTTCTTTTCTTCTAAAACAAAGAGAGAGAAGCCCAATTGTTTTCTTCTAAAACAATCTTTCAAAAAACGATTTGGAATTGGAATCATTCTAGCCACCGGTTTCTGGGCTGACGGTTTGACCGTCCAGTTCGAATGGACTGTCTATTCTGACAAAAAATATTAAAAAACAATAATTAAAATAAAAAACAGCCAAAATCATTGAATGTATTGATAATTCGACTATTTGGATTAATAGGTCGTTGACCAATTCAACGGTTTCTAAGTTGAATGATCTAATCAGCTGGGTGAAACAATGATTCGAAAACATTGATTGAGGAAGGAGATGACGGACCTTCTCCTTTAAGCTAGTCATCGATTACCGAAAGAAGATGGTGACCGTCGGTGGAGTCTCAAGACAGTCATCGAAGAATATCTGCATCGATCTGAATGTGTTCTTGGATCATGGTGTTAGTTATTGTTATGTTTTTCGTGAAGCAAACCTGGTAGCAGATTTGAATACGGCTTTCAGTGGTGTTTTTCTTGATGCTGACAATCTTCCTGGTCACTAGTTTTTATTTGTTTCTATGATGTTTTAATAACTGTTTGGACCCGGTCTAAACCAAAATCAGTTTGGACGGATTGCACTGACTGATAATACATAATGAATTAAATCAGTTCAGATTTAATGATCCAAAATATTTATTGGATTGGATTGGATCTGATTCATCGGATTGAGTTGGATTAAGCCAATAACTGGTCCATTAATTAAATCAGTTGAAGTACCTAAACAGTGTGAGCAGTAGGACCAAACAGCCAAAGTGTGGACATGTCTCATAATCACCCAATCTCTCACTTGCATTTATGGCCCATAATTACTCAATCTCTCAGTTTCTTATGTACTATATGCATATAAGCTTAGTGCTGTGAGTTTTACATTCCTTTTCTACAAAAGGACCGAAAAACCAGTTTTGAACAAGGTTTGAAACTTCAACTATGCTAGATTGTTCAACAGATTCTCGAGGGTATAACTGATCTTAGCATCAAATCCTGCCTTTGCCTACTTACCACATTAACTTAGTAAACATTCATTAAGCTTTCATATCCAAAAAAGTAAACAAATAGAATTTAAGGATTAGTAAAGTTGTGTTTGGTAACATTGAAATTGTTGGTTCAAATGTTTAGAGAGGCAACAGTACCAAACATCACCTTAAGGCTGTGTTTGATTTGAAGGAAAATGTAGGAAAATGAAGGAATATACAAGGTTTGTAAAGATTTCTCTATCTTTTTCTTCCTTTCCTTACTTTTTCCTTCAAACCAAACATAGTCTAATTGTTTTGGATTGATCAATACAATTATACAAATACACATTAGATAGATGTTTTTTACCTGAAATTAATGTTTTTAAAACCAGACCAGGTCGGACGGTTGGATTGGAAAAACCAAGAACTGGTTAGGAACTGGTCAGGTGACTGGTTCCGTTTTACCCCAAAACCATTGTTTGGCCAAAAAATCATTGATTTGGTCAGAAAACTGTTTAACCCTGAAATAATTTTTGGCCGTTCTTAGGTTTTTAATTTTTTTTTTATTTTTTTATTAGAGCGGATCATCTATTCAGACCGAACAATTGGACAGTTCAACCCAAAAACCGAACCCAGAACAATTCTCTATCCGGTCCGTCCGATTTTAAAAACATTTTTTGTAGGCATGCATTTTTCTAATTGAAATGACATTCTCATACATGATGTAATTTTGTATGGATCAATCCAAAATACAATTAATAATGCAATACACCCTAAATCATTGGCTTATCATCTAAAGACTATTTTCTGAAAGATGGCAGAAAAATTGTTGCTTTACAGAAAAATAATCTGAACAATAATTCAGAGAGATAGTTCATAAATCATGCCATGGAGAGAGAACAAGACTTGAGATTAATTATTATTTGTTATTTGCAGTAGCGGGAGTACCTTTCCGAGGCGGTGAAGTAAGCGCTCAGCGCTGAGAGAGATGAGAATGATGACTGCACAGACAACCGCGACTACCCACGTCGGAGTATACTCCAATGAATGGGATTCGGCCATTCTTGTCTTGACCGGATCCTTCCGTCCGTCTGTGTGTTGACGAGACCATCAACTGTAGAATGATAAAGACTCGAAACTTGATGAGGAAAAAAAGAGAGAGAAGGGAAAGGAGGAAGGAAAGAATCATCGATGGTTAATTTGGAACAAACGGGGAAAGAAGCATGGAGGGAACAAGCAAAGAATGGGTAATGAATCTTCTTAATTAAGCATATAATATGGGATAGCAAGAATCAGAAACTTCATGCTTCACATACAAGAAGTAACAAAAGTGAATTCATGAAATATTATGAAATGACACCATGGTAATAAAAAATGATGGAAAAATTCTCGATTAATACGTTGTACTTTGGGTCTAGTGTTGTCAGTTTGGTCCTCGAATTTTAAAATGCAATAATTTACTATCTGAACTTTCAAAACGTGACAATAGAGTATCTGTCATTAACTAACTGTTAATCAGCTATTAAATGACATTTTAAAAAGACACAAATGTTTTTCATGTGCCATCTAATTTTCTTTATTCACCATGCAAACATAGACCAACAAAATTAATAGTCCCAAATCCTTATTTATTCTATTCAAGAAAGTTGGGGTTACCAGAATGCCCACTCAAACATAACCCCAACTTTCTTGAATGTAAGAAGTAAGGATTTGAGACTTTTAATTTTTTATCAATGTCTAGATGGTTGATAAAAAAAATTAAATGACACTCGAAAGGCATTGTATCCTTTTCAAATGTCACTCAACAATAGATAAACTGCTAATTAATGAATTGTCACGTTTTAAAAGTTTGGATATTGAATTATTGTATTTTAAAGTTTGAGGACAAAAAAATGATGTAACAACGTAATTGAGGATTATGCCTCTCCTTAAATCACTGGACTGCTGCAATTAATAGAATTTATTTATTTATTCTTTTGAGTAAAAGATTTATATATGCCATAAAATTTTAAAATAGACTTAAATATAACTTGTTGGCTGCTGATCTCATTAAACCTGAGCACATCGTCATATCTTGTCTAGTTTCATTAACCCTTTTTAATATTCCAAAATTCCTATTTTAAATTTTGAAGAGAATAGACACAAAAGATACGCCTTTCTTGCTCTGGTTCCGCAACCCAACAGAACTTGATTGCTCTAAGAATCTATCTCTATTTTATTTAACTAAGTTCTCTTCTACAACCATATGCTAATTGCCTAAAGCATAGGGTAATGATAACTTTTGGCGCTATCGTAGAAGTTGATGGTGATCGAATAATTCGGTTCATTCAATGGATGAAAAAGGAGAGCAATTTTAGTTTTGGGAAAACAGGGAACCGGTGGTGCTTGGTTTAGCAATTGAAAATGGAAGTTAGAGGGTGAATGAAGAAGAGGAGAAATGTTAGGAAAAAAATAGGGAGAGAAAAGAAATTGTGGTGCTCTGCTTCGAATCAGGTGGCAGTACTCTCTTTCTGGGTTAGTGGTAGCAGTAAAAGAGGGGGACGCAAGAAGGGGAGAGAGAGAAAGATGAATAAGCGTCTATTTGATATCATTGCCATTGTTCTAGAAAATGGTGCCAAGTCAGAAAAAATGGTGCTCCAAGAAATGGGCGTTTGTTTGAAATTGTTTTTCCATAAACAATGGTGCTCCAAACCACACCTTGGAAATTGGGAAGGCATGGCTTGGAGTAATGCCGAATTTGGCGTTTCCTAGAACTGTAGCTCATTGTTGCCAACATGAACTTAAGGTGACAATGGTGTAGCACTGAATAATAGGTACTAGTGCTGAAAATGTTTCATAGAGCATTGGTACCAAATAGAAAACGTTGTTGTTGCTCCAAGAAACGTCTTAACTGATAGCAACATTTCCAGTAGAAACGTCTTAACTGAAAATGTCGTTGTTACCAACATGAACTTAAGGTGGCAATGATGTAACATTGAATAATGGGTACCAGTACTGAAAATGTTTCATAGAGCATTGGTACCAAATAGAAAACGTTGTTGTTGCTCCAAGAAACGTCTTAACTGGTAGCAACATTTCCACTTCACACATCAACAACATCAGCAACATCAATGCCAAACATATACTAAGAATACAGTTTGGGCCCTCACTATTTCTTAGAACAGATGAATGATTGGAGCCAAAGAATAGAATACATGCTTTCTTTGACCTCCTTTATTTAGCAAGGTAGTAGGAATTTTCTTTCTTTGAATCCTCACCAATTTTCTGCATTCCATCTTTTACAATTAAAATAGATTTACGAAGAGCATGCAAGAATTGAGCATTTGCGGAGCCTCTTTGTTTTTTACTCTATGGTTCTCTTTGAAAGTTTGAAAAAAAAAAAAAATTCTATGGCCACAACCTATATTTAAGGCCATGTTTGGGAGTGCTTAAAAAAGTGTTTATCCAAAATAAGTGGTTATTTGGGCCATTAAGCACTTATTGGTGTTTGGGAAATAAGCAAAAGGTAAGTGCTTATTTTTAAGCCCAATTTTCCAACTTTTTTTAAGTGCTTATACAATGAGCACTTATTCAATTTTTTTCTTCCAAAATTATCTCTAGTCGAATTTTAAAATACCACTTATAAAATTATCCCTAGTTGAATTTTATAAAAGTACTTTCACAGAAGTGCTTTCATAAAATATGCTTTTGTCAAAGTACTTTCATAAAAGTACTGTCATAAAAGTACTTTTACACTTTTAGAAAAGTGCTTTTGTAAAAGTATTTTCATAAAGGTGCTTTCATAAAAGTGCTTTTATAAAAATGTTTTCATAAAAGTGCTTTTATAAAAATGTTTTCATAAGTGCTTTTATAAAAATATTTTTGTAAAAGTATTTTTATTAAAGTACTTTTATAAAATTTAAAAGAAAATGAATGACAAAATAGTGATAAATGCTTATTGGAGAAAAAAGACAACCAAACACCCAATATGAATTAAGTACTTATTTTTTAAAATAAACAATTGAAAAAGTTAGATGCCAAATGCAAGGGCCTGTTCGTTTCCTCTTAACTCTTAAGAGGAATCTTTTAACTTTGGTTGTTTATTTCCTCTTATCTCTTATCTCTTAAAGTGCAATAATATAACTTTTTGTTTTCCAATGATATCTCATAAAGACAAACAAAAACTCTTATATATAGGGTCAAAATGGATATTGATAGTTTTCAAAATTCAGAATTCAGAATTAACAACAACATTCTTTACATTTAGAGTTTAGAGGAAAGAAAAGTTCATCAATACCAATATACTTCTTAATGTAATTATTACACTTTCAGATGTCAGACTTTAGAACAAACGAACAAGTCGTAAGGCTATGTTTGGTGAATAAGAAGTTAAAAGAAGTACTTGTTGCACAAGTAATTTTTAAAAGTACTTTTAACAACCACTTAAGACTGTTTAGTGACCCACTTGCCAAATCACTTATTGTGTATTTTAAGCACTTATTGGGTGGGGATGTTTGGTGAGCTACTTTCCTCACAAGTTCTTATAATGGCATAAATGACACTTTTAGCCCTCATTTCACTCATACATATAAACAATGCTTTTCATAAAATTATAATATACATTTCAATGAAAAATTGCCACATCACTACATCATGACACAATGAGAGCTCACATGGGCCCATACATTGAGTTTGACATGGATAATAATAATAATAATAATAATAATAGTAATAATAATAATAATAATAATAATAATAATAATAATAATAATAATAATAAATACTTCCAAAAAGCATTTCAATGATCAATTTTCACAAAGTACTTCTACAAAGCACTTTCAAGGATTGGTTTTCACAAAGTACTTTCAAAAAATGTTTTTAAGGAGTAGTTTTTACAAACTACTTCTATAAAGAACTTTCAAGGCATAATTTTCACAAATTACTTACAGATAGAGCTTTTACCATACAATTTTCACAAAATACTTCCAAAAAGTGCTTTTAAGGTGCAATTTTCACGAACTACTTACAGAAAGTGATTTCAAGGATCAGTTTTCACAAATTACTTACAGAAAGCACTTTCAAGTCGCAACTTTCATAAAATACTTACAAAAAGTGCTTTTAAGGCACAGTTTTCATAAAGGACTTTCAGTTAAGGACCAATTTCTACAAACTACTTCTAAAAAGCAATTTCAAGGTATAGTTTTCAAAAAATACTTATAGAAAGTGATTTTAAGATATATTTCCACAAAATACTTTCAAAAAGTACTTTTAATAAGTAATTTTCACAAAAAGTGCAAATATTTGTAAAAGTGAATCTCACTTAGAAATTCAAATTATTTAAAAAATAAAAAAGCACCTAAAAATTCAAAGTGAATTTAATATTATCAAATAATATTTACCTACAAATGAAATTAACAAATATTCATGTAAAAATTCATGAGAAAATATAATCACAATTTTGAAAAAATTCAAACATTTAACTAATATTAATCACAACAACATATATATAACAAAAAATATTCATCACAAGTATTAAACATTTAACGAAAAATTAATCAGAAGTTAAAAAAATAAAACATCACAAATATTCAAACATAAAAAAATGCAATGTTTGACATCACCAAATGTTCATCCAACTTTAGTAATTTTTTGCATGATTTTTAACAAAAAAAATTGGTTTCTCATATGAAACCAAAATATTTTCGAATTAGACAAATAATCATACAACAAAGAAAAAAAAAACACAAAACATGGAGGGGAGGAGTTGGGCGAACTAACCACTTTGTCGTCGACAGATAGACAATGAGATCGTTGTCGTTAAACTCTTCCAAATCGTAGATCTGTGAACACATCAATTAGGGGAGTTTCGTGTTTAAAAAAACCCAAGAAAAATGGATTAATATGAAGAAAAACTTCACAAATGTAAGAAAAAGGCAAAACAATAGGTCCACCAGCCATTTTCCCTCATCGCCGATCGTCACTAGTAGACCTATAACTAGGTGCATTGCTACCTTGTTTGCTATGTTTGAATGAGAGGATAAGGAGGTAAAACCCTCACGCGGGGGTATTTTGTGTAATAAAAAATACTGGGGACCGGTT